TGTGAAGTTCGCTGTTCTCCTAAATGGGCAGGCTGGAGAGTCTTTTGCTCCCTCGCGGGGTCTCCGTCAGGGGGATCCTCTTTCTCCTTATTTATTCATTTTGGTGGGGGAAGTTCTTTCCAAACTGTTTCAGGGTGCGGTGGACCAAGGTAGGCTGGAGGGTGTTAAGATTGGTGGATCCGGACCCGTGATTTCTCACCTCTTCTTTGCGGATGATACCCTTCTGTTTTTGCGGGCAGATGTGAAAAACTGCAGGAATTTGAAACACATGCTGGACAAATTTTGTGTGGCGTCTGGGTAGAAGGTTAATTTGAAGAAATCCAGTGTTTTCTTTGGGGCAAATGTTCCGAAGGTGAACGCAGATCAGATGGGGAATGCCCTTGGTATGGCGGTGGTTAGCAATCCGGGGACCTATTTGGGGGTCCCTGCTATTTGGGGCCGGTCGAAAAAGCGTGGTCTTGCTTATGTGAAAGGAAGAGTAATGGAAAAGCTACAAGGGTGGAAACAAAGTACTCTATCTCGTGCCGGTAAAGAGGTTTTAATTAAGGCTGTTATCCAAGCTATTCCGGCGTACCCAATGTGCATTTTTAAATTCCCCGCCGCCGTTTGTCAGGAATTGGATGCGTTGGTGGCTGGATTTTGGTGGGGTTGCAAGGAGGGAGCCCAAAAGATTCATTGGGTCTCAAAGGAGGTTTTGGGTTTACCAAAAGACTTGGGTGGTTTAGGCTTTAGAAACTTTATGGAATTTAATGATGCTCTGCTCGCTAAACAGTGTTGGCGGTTAATCACGGAACCCGACTCGCTGTGGGCTAGGGTGATTAAAGCCCGGTATTTTCCCCATTGCTCGATATGGGATGCAAAGAAAGGTGGTCGGGCTTCTTGGGCATGGAGTAGCCTTATCTGTGGCAGGGACGTGATCAAGGAGGGTTCTCATTGGCAGATTTTGGGCGATCAGGAGGTGCGGGTGTGGCAGGATAGGTGGCTTCCATCCTTGCCCCTTGGACATCCGGTGCCGGTTGGCCAGGTTGCGGTTACTCCCAGTTTGAGGGTCAGTGCGCTTATTTGTTCGGAGTCGGGGCGGTGGAATCTTAGTTTTTTACAGCCATTCATATCGGGGGAGGCTTTGAAGGCTATTGAGGAGACGCCTCTGGGGGATCTAAGTCGTAATGATAGGCTCATCTGGGATTTGAGTAAGAACGGCACGTATTCGGTCAAGTCGGGTTATAGATGGCTGCAAGGTAGATCACTGGCCAGGAAGGACAAGCATCGGCCTTCTGTTCGTGGGGTTCCTAAGGAGTTTTGGAAGGGGATTTGGAAGCTGGAGGTGCCCCCCAAGCTGCGACATTTCCTGTGGCTAACGATGCATAATTGTCTTCCTACTCGGGAAGCCCTATACCGACGACGGTCCTCTCTGACCTCTACTTGTCCTATTTGCTGCTGCCATGACGAAACCATTGAGCACATTTTCCTTTCTTGCTCTTGGGTTGAGCCAATTTGGTTTGGTGGGGCTTTGGGGTATAAATTGGATCGCCTTTCTCTTCCGTCTTGGCTGGAATGGATTCAGAAGGTATTCTTTCCGAATTTATGCAACTTTGGAGATACAATGTGGAGACAATCATATATTGTTTTTACCTGTTGGTGTATTTGGAAAGCTCGTTGTGATCTTGTTTTCAAAGGGATGTCTCTTAACCCTTTAAAAGTTTTGGCTGATGTTTCTGCGGCTATGAGCTCATTTTTTGGTGCTAAGGCTATGGCTGGGGTGAGGGGAGGGGGTGACGGGAGGAGGGGTACCCAGGTGGCACGGTGGTGTGCTCCGGCCTCTCCTTTTGTGAAGATTAATGTGGATGCTAGCTGGTCCAAGGCCTCAAAGATGGGATTTGTTGGATTGATTGCGCGGGACATGGAGAGAAAATTCGTGGCTGCAGCGCGGTATGCTATATCTGCTCCTTCTGCTGCTGCAGCGGAGGCTTATGCGTTGTTGCACAGGTGCCAGCTCGGTGAAGACTTGGGTGTAAGGTATGTAATTCTTGAGTCGGACTCCCTTGAAGCGATTAATTGTTTATCTAGCTCGCTGTCTAGGGGTAGTTGGGAGGCATTCCCGGTGCTGGCTCGGGTTAAACAGCTCGGGGGGAAGTTCCTTGATTGCCGATGGTCTTGGGTGCCCTGTTCTGCTAATGGCGTGGCTCACAAGATTGCATCGGGTAGTTTTACGGAGATGAGTGATGTCGTTTGGGTCGTTAGGCCCCCATCTTCGTTTGTCTTTGTATTGAATAATGACGGGCTACCTTGTCCTCATTAATTTGTTTTGGTGGTGCCGGGGGTAACGCCTCTACTTGGTGGAGGGGTCTGTGTGGTTTACCCCTTGTCACTGCTTGTTAATTGTATGTTTGTTTGCCTCTTTGTAGGCCTTTTATAACATGGTATCTGGTGTTCAAAAAAAATCTATTCCCATTTTTTTTTTTAAATGGGAATTAGGTGTGAGGCTCACTCCACACTTCAATGATCTGAATCATCTATTTTGTAAGTCTCGATTCATAGATCATCCTTACAAAAATTCAATTCAATTCGAAACTATTTGCTTATTTAATTATCAGGATAAAATTACATTGTTTCTTATATAACAAGTATTCGTTAATTTGTTTAAACCTAATTAGATGTCTTAAACATTTTCGATTTGGCTAATATTTTGCAAGGATAATCTATGAGGTGCAACTTGAAAAATAGATGGTTCATATCGTTAAAGTTCAATGTTGTGTGGACCCCACAACTAATCCCCATTTTTATAAAAATTTGGGGATCGCTTCGATTTCCTCTGTGTGTGTATATGTATATTGAGGGTCATTTTAGGAATAATAGTGGGTGGGAAATAACATTTCAATTTTTTAACTTTTTATGGTGGGTGAGATTATAAAATGGATAGGGAAATAAGACAATGGAGTAGGTCTAGCAGCTATATATATAAAGTGAGCATCCTAAAATGATGAAACATTTAAAATACCATAAATTACCCTTTAAGAATTTCAAAAATTACATTTGAATAATTCACCACATTTTAAATTTGAAGAATTTAAAATTTAAAATATAGAAAAGAAAAAAAAAACTCTAACGTTTGTGGGTGGTTTCATATTTTTGCTTAATTTTTTTTTAATAAAATATAAATTAGTTATTTAAATAAAAAAATTATTAAAAAAGGCCAATTCTCGCGGTTTGTGCGGCAACATGCTAGTATATATAAAGGGAGCACCCTAAAATGGTGAAACATTTAAAATACCATAAATTGCCCCTCAAGAATGTTAAAATTACAATTGAATTAAAAGGAGTTAAAATAATTCAACAAATAACAAAACTCCACGTTAGTGGGTGGTTTATGTTTAACTTCTAATTTATTTTCAAAAATACCTTTAATAAAAAAAATATATATATATATATATAGAAAAAAATTAAAAATTTTAATTTATTTTGTAAAAAAATATTTAAAAAAAATAAAACTTTAATTTAACGTACAAAGGCCAATTGTCACACGACTTCGCGTGTGACAAGAGGGTAGTGAATAACAAAACTAGATAAATAGTATTTTTGTAATTCTCAATCCTCATGTATATGTATTCCTCTACATGAATATTGACTGATTTATCATATATACACGGTTGACAAAAAACCAAATTAATCAGTAAGCATAGCAGGTGTCCCTTCATCCTTTCTATATAATCGAATCAAATCAAGTTGTTCGAAGTCACACCTCCACTAGCTATAACCTATATCTACCAATAAGCGACTTATGATTTATATACAGAGGACCATTTCATTTTCGTTATATAGTCTCAGTCGTGCACGGTTCTTTCGCACCAGGTCAAATTTTGTCTTGTTATTGGCCAAGTGGGTCACTGAAGGAGCAGTCAAGCATGGAGTGTGCCTCAATTGCTCGTCAAGGAGTCACATTTTATGAACAAGTTTTTGTAATTATTTGCAAGCTGCAGGAATCCAAAGCATCCAAATCAACAGTAATCCCAGCGGCCCAGCCGAGTCATGCATGCAGTTTTCTCCTTATGGCGGACTCTTCCAGCCAATCTTTGAGAGTGAGAGTTGCTTGCTTTGTTTTATTCCTTCAATGTTTTTTTATTGCGTGGCTAGATAGTACGCGTATATTCGCTGTTTTAAATTTTAGTTTCTCTGACCTTTGAAATTGGACGATTGCATGTTCGCTTGATTGGCATAAGTCATTTGGTCTAGTGATATACTAAATTTAAATATCATGAACAACATTTGTTTTTTCTTAGTTAGATGAAATACTAAATTTAAATATCATGAACAAGAATTGTTTGAATAACTAAAAACAATGTTGAATGAGTTGACATCGTTTTTCGAGCTATTATAATATGTAATTTCGCCATTAGAGAAACTAATTTCATGACATGCTTTGAATTCACTGGGGCATCCAACAGAATCGAATCAAACTTTGGAGCATTGACTTATGCTTGCATTTGTTTCAGCTTTTTGATAAAATCATATTTTATATTAAAGGGTGAAGAATTTAGGCTAAGTCACCCAATTGACAAGTCATAATAATGTGTTGTGGAACTTGTTGTTCTTGAAAATTGAACTAAGACCTAACTTGTAAGTTAAAACAAAAAAGAAACCACTAGATCATAGTTGTTGTGACATGGTGCAGGCTTAATGTTGATGGTACCATCTCCTGAGTAGTCTTTCCCCCTAGAGAGAGAGAAAAAAAAAGAAAAAAAAGGAGTTTAAAAGAAAAACTTTGGACTAATGAGAATATGTTTGATTAATAATTTAAGACACTCTGGATTGCTGACAAGAGGACACTAGGACATGGGAGCAGGACAAGTAAACCCTGAAATATATTCACAGGCCCAGACCCACAAAGACCAATACTGGACACACAAACACTGGACCCAGTTCATTTGAGCTCCATTCTTTCCATTTCCTGCAAATCAGGTGGTATGTTGAGGACAGTTCCAAACTGGAAAGGTGTTAAAGTGTGATGGCAAGATTAAATTTCATTTACATTCACCCATTTAATTTTCTGTACAAAGTAAAACCAGTGGAATCGAAACATCAAATTTGTTTAATGAGTAGATTCCAGGAGCCTCAAGCGGCAAACTATCTTGAAACCTAGAGCACAAAAGCATGGTTGATGCTGCAGAGATAAGTACAAAGGTATGGTTGATGCTGCAGAGTCTAAGTTTGAGTTGGATCAGCTTCTTCTGGACCTTGTTCGGATAGGAGACAGCATCATTTTCTAAATCTTCATCCTTAGAATTACTCTCAATGGCAGCACGCATGTCTTTGTCTCCAAGGGAACAAACTCAGCAGTTGCAGGATCTTGAAAAGGTGCGTCTTCCGTAGGCACATGATATCAATATCAATCAAAATAATGGTCACTTGTACCTTCAACAATCTTAACAATTTGCATAGCACCAACACAAATCCATTTCACCCATAGTTCAAATTTATAATTCAGATAACCCTAATTGAAACAATTCTTCGTTAATTAACAATAACTCTAAACCGGATAATAATCATGAAAACAAATTCATAAAACATAGCTCTATAAAATTCAAACCTGCGTTGCTGAAGTATGAATCAAAAGACTTGTTCCAAATGGTTAATAGGTCGAATAGTTAATAGGTTTTGGTGCAAAACTTAAAAATTATCACATATACTTAATTTTTTATTTTTTTTTTACATTCACAATCAATTTCAACATATTAAATAAACGTTATACTTATTTGAGACTTCTGAGAAGCCTATTCATTTGTAAGGGGCTGCTTTTGGTATGTCCCCATTGATGAAAATCATCGTGGGAACATTGTTGTCCAGAACAATTTTTCCTAAGTGTTTAAAGATGAAAAATCATATTAGCATTTTTGCAATAGAACATGAATACTGGGAACTAGTAAAGACAGACTAAAGCCTAAAGTGACGACGTCGATTCAACTGCTTCGTCGAAGCAGCTCGCCCAGCCGCCCGTCCTATGGCAAAGTCTTACAAATTATCTCAAGTAGGCAAGGCACTTGAAGCATCAAAGCCAAGAGTCAAGCCTAAAGTGACGATGTGGGATCAATTGCTTTGTCGAAGCAACTTGCCCAGCCACTCGTCTTATGGCAAAGTTTTGCAAATCGCCCCAAGCAAGCAAGGCTCTTGAAGCCCTCAAGCCAAAACTAAAACCTAAAGTGGTTGCATGGGATCGATTGCTTCATCAAAGCAGCTCGCCCAACCACCCATCCTACGGTAAAGTTTTGCAAAAACATAGCGAAATTGCAAGAATTAAGTAAAGCAAAGTAAGTAGTTTATTAAATTTCTAGCAAATTGATAAACTAGCTCAAATGCCAACAAAGTTTAAACAAAGCAGAGCAAAAGGAAAGAAACAAGAAAATTCCTAAGTCTGAGTAGGAAGACTACTCATTGACAACCTGCACGATCATTGGATCCTCGATTGTCATGCCTTCAGCAACCATACCGCTCTCAATAGCCAAAGATTCCATCATTTCATCCTTAGTCGCCTCTGCCTGGACAGTCTCACCCTCAATTGCTCCACCAAAGGTAGCCTCAATGAGAAGTTAGGCAGATTCACTGGAAAAATGGAGTGAGTCCCGAATTCTTTCTTGGAAAATTCATAATTCAACGGCCTACCCTAGAAATAGTCTACATAGCCAAGCTTGTAGAAATCAGTCTGACAAGAAGAAAGTGCAACGTCGTGACTGACCCTCTCATTTTTCAGCTGCTCATTCTCTTTAACAAGACTAGTGTGACAATCCTACAACTTATCTAATTCATGATTCAGGTTCTCGCTATCAGACAACGTACCTTGCAATTCCACTTCCTTGGATTCAAGCTTACTGGCAACATCCTTGAGACAAGACACTTCATTATTGTGGAGCCAAAAATAATTGAGAAAAATATGGAGGCGACACGTGGATTCTAGGGTGAAAATGACAAAATTACCCTTGATGAATACTGGAACTCCTACACGCAAGCAATGGACAATCATAATTCAATCAAGGTCAAAAGTGCCAAAATAGATAATTATTCAAAACCTATTTTATCTATCCTCATTAAATCCTCTCCATAAGGTAACCCCCAAATCATTCCTTTCAAATTATATTAATTAGCTAATTAATTGATTTATTACTCAATTAATTTATTAATTAGCTAATAAATTGTGAATCACACCCAAAAAACCACATAAGTGGCTGGTCCCCATCTCTCCCAAAGCGGCCGGCCACATCCTTATAAATATCACCCCATTTTCTCCAAAAACCCAAGTTGAATCCTCTTGCTAAATTCTCCAAACACTTTTCCCTCAAAATTCTAACTTTGGTATTGGAGGTTCTTCGGCCAAACCCCCCCCCCCAAAAATCATCGTGGGTGTGTAAGGCTCTTGGCCTTGACTTAAGCTGTTATTTGTTTTGTAGGTGCAATTTTGTCCAAGAACAAGGAGGAAATTTGCATCGACAATTAGGCGGGAAGATAAATTCTTGTCCTTGGCATAACAAGTCGACACACTCAAAGTCCTGAACCATTGGTGCAAACCAATCAACTTCCTTTTTTGTAGCTTCCAACATCGCCCCAATCGCATTAAGCTTAGCTTTCAAACTGCCAACTTCCTAGTGAATGGTTTCCAACTGAACAAAAGTGGGGGTAGAGACATCATACCCTTCAAAATAGCGAGTTCATATTTGAGTTTTTCAATCTTTTTAGCAGCTAAGCTAAGTTGAGCCATCAACACCGCCTTGACCTCCTTGGCAACTTTAGTAGCATCCAGATCAATCGCATGGACTCAACTACCAAGATCAAAATATTTTGCATAGTAGTAAGCAGGGAAGACATTCTTGAATAGGCAGGATGCTCCTTAAAATAGTTTGAGCGAAATACCTTCACAACACTATTAACAAACTTGGTGTATACATTAACGTCCTCAAACAAGTCAACTTTCAGCAGTGCACAAATCTCGGGAAATTCCTCATAAACAGATTTGGTGGACTTTTCATAACTGTCCACATGAGTAGACTTCTCCTTCTCAACAAACGAATCAGTCATATATGTATGATGAACAGGCCCTAGTGCCACCTTAGCAGCAGAATCCACATTTCCACTCTTCATAGTGGCGAGTTTCTCAAAAGCCAAACCAGACTTGGCTCCAAACGGATGTTTCGATACAAACCTAGACATTAGGGGCACCATAGAACCCTTACGCTGAGCAATCCTCTCGGCAATGGTCGTGGCCACCTTCAGAGCAACAGATTTTGCAAGGTTAGACTTAACAATGTTTTTCTCCCCTTTGGGATAAGTCAGATCAATGACAAGCTTTTTAGTAGCAAATGGGCCTTCACAAGCAGCAGAAAAAGTCTTCGGCTTTTTCTCAATCGATGAAGTTCTTGGAGTTGAGCCAAATTTTGAATCTAGACAAAGTAAGAAGGATGATCAATAAATTAAAGTCGAGGGCAGCTCAACCAAAATTCCAAGCAGACCAAGAATGAAGCAATTTACTTACCATTGATAATTTCAATCAGAACGCGTAGCTCAGGCGAGGAGTTGAACTCTCATTCCTCGCTAACCTCTAAGGTATCTCTCACCTACTCATGATCACCTTTGCAGGAAGCATTAAACAACCTCTAGTGAGACCTCAATTGCCCCACACTTTCCTTATGGCCAATCTTGAAAAAGTACCATAACTCATTAATGGTCAAGCCTAGATCAAAGAACTTGTTTAAGTTTGCGAACTCCACCATTACGCAAGCATTCGGGGAACATTGAGCAGGCCTGCACTTCATGTAACATATCACCTCTTGGAAAAGCACGACGTGGGAAAAGTGAATCCCCACACAAAGTAGTATGGATGGAATTTGATAGCTCTATTCCAAGCCTTGGCAACTTCACTACATGGTTTATGGCTACTATCATCCTTTACCCACTTGATGCGAACCCCTTATGGAATTGCATGTTTGTATGTCTCGATGAAATCCCAAAACAATTCATCGCAATTGATCTTGACATAAGCAGCCTTGAAGCAACCTACTTTGCCGAAGGAACCACCTTGACGATACAAGGGCAGAGGATATTCGTCACTCATGCTATTAAAGGAAGAAATCTAAAAAATTATGAAGTACGAAAATAAATATTTACAAGGCAGCTTGGGAAAAAGAAAACAAAAAGAATATATATGAAGAATCGCAGAAGCACAACATTCGCACGCCAAGCCCCAACCAATTCTCAGCAGCCCAAAAGTTTAGCTTTTCCTCCATCGTGGGCCAAATAATAGGAGCTCAGCAACATGCCAGGCCTTATGACATGGTCCATTTTTTCTCTTTCTCGTGCTTAGCCAAGCCCAAGGTTCTCTCGACCTAGTTTGTTAGAGGGGAGCGAGTGCCCATAGCCTCTCTCCCTCTCCTTCACCTCCAACGGGCCCAAGCCCAGCTCAGCGCCCCCGTGCATTCGGCCCATGCTAACGCACGCTGAGCCCTAGCTCGCACCACCAGCACCTCAGAGAAACTAACTTAGGCATTGAAGATCCATTAGCCTAACCCCACATTCCCTCCAAAACCCACCTCGTGGGCGCTTGAGGTTTAGGTCTTTGATCAAAGGTGTTGATTGTTTTGTACGTACATTTCATCAAGATTGAAGACGACGAAAATTTGCTACCATACACATGTCATTTAATGAGTATGAAAGATAAATTCGCGAAGGTAAGAGACATAAGCGAATCCATCATGGACTTGGTTGGTCCCAGAAGTTCGAAGAAATGCATGTAAGGATTTTTGAGGATCACCCAACGATCTTGGTAGCTGGTGGAAGAAAGAAGACCACCATGGCTGTGCATGTTGTGTAACACAAGCTTTAAACCAATAACAAATATATATATATATATATTTTTTTTTTTTTAGACGAAGAGGAACACATAGAAGATTATCATGGTCTTGTTGTTCTTAGACCTTTGTTCCAACGAAGAAAAACTTTCTCTCTCCATTTCTAAAGTGACTAACTCCCCATTTTTCTTTTTTGTTTTTTAATTGTTGTCTAATCAGGTTGTGCCACCTAACATTTAATTAATAAATTGATGGTGTATTACTAAACAAATACTTTTTATACAATATGTTTGACACCGTTATTTTTTTTTAATTCACTATAAATTTATACGATATTTGAAAAATATTTCGTAAAGTGCTACGAACATGTAATCACTTGAACTTTCATCTCATAACTTCAAATTCACTAAAATGTTAAAGCAAATTTTTTGATATTTTTATATGTTATATGTTAAACAATAAACCTAAAATAATAAATTTAAATTCTCAACACAAGTATAGTTTTATTTATTTATTTATTTATTTATTTTTTATTTTTTTTTTATGTGTAAACATATACTATTTATATGATATAATAAATTAAATTAAATTTGCCTATTCCGCTTAGATCCGTCTAGGTGCATAGGTGCTAGGCCACAATCTGCCGCCCGACTAGCACCTAACATACCTTGATTAGGACTACCCGGTGTTAGAATCTTGGATCTCACCACTGGTTGAAGGTCAATGTAATTCCTCTAAAATCTTACTCTTAGTCCTTACTCTTTCCACTAGACTTTCACTGAAGCCATCTCCAACCGAAATGACTAGACATGGCCTCCCCATGGAGAATTATAGGCTTGCAAAATAGAATCTTTAAACAAACAGTATCAAGTCATACTCATATACTATCTTCAACCGAAAAGGCTAAACATAGTCTTCTCAATAATTTATTAGTTTTAAGTTTATACCTTAAATTTGTTGGTTAATTTAATTAAACTACTGTTGAACGTTTTCAAATCTAACCATTGAATTTTAATTAATTATTGCAATTGGTGTGGCTACATTTGGCTAGCCTGATACCTTATTGGCCAAATAATGACTTGATAAATTCCATCAAATTATAGATCAGCCATCGATTGGGAATTAATTTTTAGGCTAAGGTCATTTTTTGGCTTTTGATATTTTAGCTCTCTTTATTGGGAATTAATTTTTAGGCTAAGGTCATTTTTTGGCTTTTGATTTTTTAGCTCTCTTTATTAGACATAGGGCTGGTTCAGTATGGGATACCGAACCGAAAACCATGTCCCGATTCCCAAACCAAAGTTTTCGAGAATCAAAAATTTCATGACCGATCCCAAACAAAATTTTCGGAAATTCCAAATTTCAGAAATCCCGAAATAGTTTATGGATTTCGGGACAAATCGAGAATCCCAAAATAGTGACCAATGCATAAATTGCCTTAAGATCTGCTAAACTAAAGTAACAAAACGACAAAGCTATGCAAATTACAAACCAGATACAGAGCTATACCTTATGCCAAATCCTTCGTCTTTTTCAATTAGACGCAATAACTATATAAAACCTGAATTGGTAGCAACTGATGGAATAACTTCCAGACTAAATATTATAGAAATAACTTACCAACAAGAAAAGCTCTTCAGCCCCATTAAAAAGAAAAATAACAGGTCGACGAGGAATCCATCCAGAATCCACCCTTAGCCTGCTATTTCCAGCATTGATGCTGCAAAAGAATAGAAAAATAAAGAAAATGACGAACTTGCAAGATATGGTTAAAATGCCCCAAATTTCAAAAATTGAAAACCCCCCAAATCCAAAACCCTAGAATTCAAATGCCCAACTTAAAAACGAATTGAAGTCGCAAACAGACTTTATCACATCAAGATTACCAGATGAAGACAAGAATATTACCTTAAGGAAGAGAGAAGTAGAAGGAAGTAGAGGTGGCTGTATTGATTATCAAATGTAGAGGAAGTTGTCCAATGCAAAAAGAAAATGGAAGACTGGAGTTTGGATGTAGTATGAAGGTAAAGGGGAGAGAGTGAAAGAGTGGAGGGAGAGAGAGATTTGTGGATCTGAACTGAAAGGAGTACATGAGTAGGTAGGGAAGGAAGTGAAGGTGAGGTGAGGTCAAAGAGTTTGGCGGATAAGTTAGAGAGTGAAGGTGAGGTTAGGTTTCATTTCGAATAAAAGGTGAGGTCAAAGAGTTTGGCGGAGAAGTTAGAGAGTGAAGGTGACGTTAGGTTTCATTTTGAATAAAAGATGAGGTCAAAGAGTTTGGCGGAGAAGTTAGAGAGTGAAGGTGATGTTAGGTTTCATTTTGAATAAACGGCTTATAATATCTAAAACTATATATATTTTAATTTTGATTCAGTTTGGAAATATCGAAAAAGACAATGTGAGACCGATTCCCGTACCAAATAGTTTGGGATCGATATCAAAATTTTCAAGATTTTCGGTTCGGGATTTTTTGGGTCCGGCTTCGGGATTTTGTCGGGATGTTTTTTTTTCCACCCCTAAAATTTGGACATAGCATTAGGAATCAGGATGGGTTTGGAAGAAAGATGGGTCCAAAGACTTCAAAGCAGGAAGAAGGTGCGTCATTTGAAGCAAAGTAGCACACGTCGTCTCGTCGTCTGGCTTGTCTCCAACTCCAAGCGATATTTACTCAGACTCTCACAGCTTCTGAATTCTGTTCTTTCGGCCCAGGTCAGTTGGCTACTGTTTTTCCCCTTCAATTTTGATGTGAAATCTTACCATGTCTGGAACCAATGTTAGGTTAATTTCAGAATTGGAATTTTGAGTTTTGGTTTTTTTGTTTTACGAAGTTAAGCTGTTTTTTCTCTGTTGTGGATTGCTTTTATGGCATTCCATGATTTGATGACAGAGAGTAGAGACTAGTACTGGATAGGAACAACCTGAAAATTGAACTGCAACTGCATCCCAAGAGAGTTGAAGGCGCTACTCCAACAGTCCAACTACCGCAGCCGGCTTCTCTCTCTGCTCTGCAAATTGCAGAACTTGAGACGATGAGGCATTGGGACCAGTGGGCCGAAGAGGCTCTTCACAAGCTTGATCGTCTGCAGCTTCTTCGTTCTCTCAGACCCATTTACCTCCATAATGGACCGATCCAAGAAGCCCAGAAATCTGCCGAAGATGAATTCAACGTGTTCGATGAAATGCAGACATGGGACCGCTCGTCTGTGGAGGTTCACATTCCCGAACCCACATTCGAAAAATGGCTCCATGACATTCCCAGTTCCGGTACAGTTCAATACAACCATTTTCCATTATATTATTTTCTTGGAATTTGGTCTAAATTACATTTGTGGAGTTTTTAGGAGATGAGGAAGGTACCCAGAAGTTTAAAAAGCTGCTACTTTTCTCTGGAAATGACTATTTAGGCTTGAGTTCACATCCTACTATTGGAAAAGCTGCTGCTAAGGTTCTCTTTCGGACACCACTTCTCAAAAGATATCTTTAATTCACCATGTTCTAAAACCATGTAATGAGAATTTATATTCAACCAGGCAGCGCTAGAACATGGAATGGGCCCGAGGGGTTCTGCTTTAATTTGTGGATACACTGATTACCATAGGCGATTGGAGTCATGCTTAGCAGACTTAAAGAAGAAAGAGGTATAAGCTGCTCTGTATAGATAATACACACTACTAATTTGCCCTCTTTATTTGGATTTTGTCATTCCCTTTTGTGCTGTTATGTAACAATGGTGACAAGGGACCGTAACCTGAGACTTACTTTTAGACTGTATCCCCTTTTACGAACGGATTCCCCATACAATGAATATCATTTCCTTTTCCATTTCAAGATGAAGATTACAGTTTTGATTTGCATGATTTACTCAACTGAGTATGACCGTCTGAATTTTGATTACAAAGTTAAGTTTTTGGGCGAAGTCCTTTGACATAATTGCTTGATTTATTGGCAGTCTAAGGCGTTGGGTAATATTGTTTTGACCTTTTTTTATTTACTCAATTACTTTTTCGTGTTTTACCTGAAAACTGATGAAATCTTGTTTAAACTGTATCCACTAGGATTGCCTTCTTTGTCCCACAGGGTTTGCAGCCAATATGGCCTTGATGGTAGCTTTGGGAAATCTTGGCTCTCTTTTGTCCGCTGGAAAAATGCCTTTAACGAATGAAAAGATTGCAATTTTTTCTGATGCACTGAACCATGCGTCAATAATCGATGGTATTCGTCTTGCTGAACGACAAAAATCTGTAGAGATATTCATCTATAGACATTGTGACATGACACACCTTAATGCGTTGTTGTAGGTCTTAAACTTTTGGTTTAAATCTTTGTGTCCCTCTTCTTATTGGATATCTACTTCACTATCTCCGTTGGCTAAAAATGCAATTGTTGTTTGACAGATCAAGTTGCACAATGAGGAAGAAAGTCGTTGTGACTGATAGGTAAATGTTGCTATTTTTAGATTCTACTTTCTATATCCTCATTTCAGTCGGAATCAATTTCATCTTCATACAATGTTCTATTTTGTTTTGTTTGTTATCTTTCTCATGACTTGTATTTGTCTGTCACTGCAGCTTGTTTAGTATGGACGGAGACTTTGCACCAATCACTGAGCTTGTGAAGCTACGCAGGGAGCATGACTTTCTGTTAGTTATTGATGATGTAAGTCCTAGTAAAAAACTTGTCAAATCTTGTACATATGGTACACATCAAATTGTCATAGTTGTGTTACGGTTGAGTTGTCTAGTTACACTCGCAATTCAACTAGTCCTCGAGTAACTATGTCCATATTGCAGGAAAAAGTTGCTGTTTTCTTTCATTTTTTATTTATGTGGTCTAAGGTATTAATGATAAAAAGAAAATATACTCCTCTACTCAGGCTCATGGAACATTTGTTTGTGGAAAAAATGGTGGTGGAGTGGCTGAGGAATACAATTGTGAAGGTGATGTTGACATATGCGTTGGGACTTTAAGTAAGGCTGCAGGTTGCCATGGCGGATTCATCGCATGCAGGCAATTATTCATTCTAGCTTTTTCTTAGTAAATAATACATAATGTAAATGTTTGGTGTACAGTAGTTGTAGCAAATATGAAATGGAAATGATGTGCTCTATTCGTGATTTACTAAATTCCTTTAAAATGATAAATATAGAGGAAAAAACTGTCGCAATTTGTGTCAAAACTTCATACTTTAGGTGCCAATGTCAAAACTTCAGACTTTAGGTGTCGATGTTTTGGATTCTTGTGTGTTTCATCTCAGTTTGTGGAAAGTTATGAAATGTAATTACTCATTTTCTTTATTGTCATATAAACAGCAAAAGGTGGAAGCAATTCATACAATCAAGGGGTCGTTCTTTTATATTTTCAACTGCTACGCCAATACCAATTGCTGCTGCTGCTCATGGTAATTTATATAATTTTGTTTGGTTAGGGTGCTTACTTGAATATAATTGCTTTCAAACATGTGCAACTTATTGCCACATTAGCTTTGGCCAACTTGCAAGCCGGCTTGAGCATGGGTCAAGCTTGGGTTGCAGACTTGTGGAAACCGTGTTACTGTTTAGACGGATGACGCAATAATATCGTCATGTTGAGTAGTCTTTCTACGGGCGGTGGTGTGTGAGAAATAAGGGAAGTATATGGGGAAAGGACGGATGAAGAAGGGTGATGGGATAGTTTTTGGCATTTGGTTTTTAGTTTTCATTTTGTCTCTTTCCCTATACTTCTCTCTCATAATTCGTGTCCACTCTTCTTCATCCTTCATTTCTCCTATGCATTTCCCCTTTATCTCTAACACAAAAGGTGAAAACCAAAAACAAAAAACCAAATGGTTATCAAACAGGCCGGCGCTCCATTACTTTATCAGTAATTTATCATCAATTGTTCACTTGGTGTGATTGTAGCATTTCCCCCCTCTTTTGTTGTACTTCCTGTGGTTAATAATACAAATTGAACTTTGCAGCTGCTGTTTTTGTGGCAAGAAAGGAAACATGGCGTAGAAGGGAAATTTGGAATCGGGTGAAAGACTTTCGTGCTCTCACTGGAATTCCCATAAACAGTCCCATAATATCGCTCATAGTAGGGAGCGAAGAGAAGGCTCTGCAAGCCAGCCAGTTCGATTTCCCACTCTATCTGTTTATCTGTGATTTGTAGATCATTCAACAACTGCTTCTAACTTTGTTATCATCAACGAACAGGAGTTTGCTAAAATCTGGCTTCCATGTGACTGCAATCAGACCCCCAACAGTGCCACCCAACTCATGCAGGTCTGTGACAAATCTTCTTTACACTTTCCGTTCTGCTACAGTGCATTTACAAGTTCAGGTTATACTCATCTTGTTCGTTTCGTTTTATGATGGTTTGCTATTTGACCTTATAAGTACTATATTGTTTCTCTGTGTCCTTTACATCTTCATTTATTTTTTCTGACCAGGTTACGTGTGACATTGAGCGCAACGCACACGAGGAACGATGTCGAGAGGTTCACAGCTGCACTCTCCCGTTGCGTCAATTTCCAAGAAATTGGCATCCATGGCTCAAATGGATATGCGAGGCTTTAGGATTTTCATTCGCTAGATTGCAATAGTTCATTGATGTACTAATAATGAATAGAACATCACAGCTGCACTATCTATTGGTTGCAGACTTGAGTGTAACCAAGTTGGTTAAAATAATGCTTCTTTCTTTTGCACTTAAGTTTGAATTGACAAATCCCCCTCCATGTAGTTTGTAAGAGTAGAATCTCGCTTTGTTAACAAAAACTAATTTCAAAATCTGCCATGCCAGATTTTGAAGTCTCTTTGAAATTAATTTCAGTTTTTGTTTTCATTTTTTTCTCACCCTTTTTCATTTACCAATTTTGTGTCACAGAACAGACATCGTCCAAGTGTCATCAAAAGTAATAAAGAAGAATAATGATAGGAGGCAAATTTTTTAAATCAAATTTGCAAACCAAATGATGTGGTTATTGATGATTAAATTATTACTTAAACGTTGATTAACATGTTTATTTTCTATTGGTGACGCATCATTTGATTTATAAATTTAGTTAAAAAAATTTGGTCTCCCTAGAATTACCATTAAATTATGTAGCTTTCCACATAAGCTGCCTAAAATAGTAAAAAAAAGAAAAAATGTGGTACAAGCCACTTAGTACTACGGTCTAGTGGTATTCCTCTTTTTGTAAGTGAGAGGTCTTAGGTTTGATTCTTGTTAAAGGCGAATTTGAACTACATTATTATTAGCCCATTGTGAGACTTATCCCATCCCCATTCCCCTTTAGTATAGATAATACCATTCGTTAAAAAAATAAGAAAAAAATAAAAAATAAAAAAAATAATAATGAATAACATTTTTGTTATTAAGGAGACTCCTATTTACAACTCATATCATAATAGACACTTACAAGATTTGCACTTGTGCATTCGTTTCTTTTAAAATTTAGTTTTTCCATATTTCATTATCCAATTTGTAAAAAGAATAAAAACTACATTATAAAAAAACAACTTCCTCATCAACTCATTAAGGTCTTAGATTCGTTTCTCTTATTGTAAAGTAAAACTTAGACGTAACGTATGCACTTTATCTCTCTCTTCACATGAAATAATGCGTATAACATGTTTTTCTTGATGGATAGCCCCTAAATTCTTTTACACGAAAGGCATGCAATGGTGCCAAGATAGCTAGAGTGACGCAGAAGACATGCAATGGTGACAAATAGCAAAAAGTGACGTCGAAACTGGAAAGCACGAAAACCATACGATTCTAGGTTGTTTCGTCAAACTTGTGTACCCTTGAGGCTTCCCTATAAATTAAAGGAGCTAATAGTAGTCATGTGACTATAACAGACTATTAAAGAATTGGTAGAGCCGAAATGAGAGACAGGCCTCTCAGAAGCCAATGGAAATGGGTAGCTGGGAGCGGCCTCATAATTTCTTTTCATCTCCTTCATGAAAATTATGGAGATGACCTCCCTCCCCTGCCACCCATATCTATTGCTTTTGGGAGTCTCTCCCTTTTCCCTTCATGCCATCCACTCCCCAGGTTGATGATCTCTCTCTCTCTCTCTCTCTCTCTCTCTCTCTCTCTCTGTATATATATATATGTTATTTCTGATTTCTTCTACTTGAAATTATGAAGGCATGTGATAATCACTAAGGGATCGTTTGGTATGCTTCTTGAATCCAGTTATAAAATTAATAAATATTGAGTAATGTAGCTATATTCATTATTTTTGAAAATAAAAATTGGTTCTAAGAAGAATACTAAACATGGCCAACTATCTTAGAAAAATTTCCTTTCCAATTTCTTGAGGTCTTCAACAAGATTCAAGACTAATGCAATTTTGGTAAATGCTTGCAATGTTTTGTTATTTTTTTTTTACAGGTGATGATTAAGCAGCTAATTAGAGATGTATGTGCACCAAGTTGGCCCTTCAACTAGCATTGCAATTAGAAATTGTTCTATGAAAGGAATATGAGTTGTACATGCCTGAAAAAAAAAATTGAAAGAAAGATAGCATGAAACAAATAAATTAGTTTTGAGCACTTGCTTGATAACAATTAGTAATTATATATACAGCATATGCTAGGATTTTTTTTTTTTATTTGTCAAATATATATTCTGGGATTTCAGTCAAGCAAAGCTAGCACACTTGGGAACTACTCCCTTGCCAAATCAAAAGCATATATAGATTTATTTTTATTATTATTTTTAGATTAAGAGCATACGACTTCTTCAGTCAATTAAATACAAGTATGCATCGGCTGGAACAAAAACCAATTTACTTGTGCTGCATCAAACAAATAAAGCTAAAAGGAAATGAACATAAAAACCAACTTTAAGGAAGATTATTATTAAGAAAATTACTGCAGCGACTATATGATTATCATATTCACTAGCACATCAAAATATACAGGCAAGAATACAAGAAGAAGGATTGAAGCATATCTGAAAATTCAGTATTTAATTTCATTTTTCAGCAGAATAATAGCGAAAAGGCAATCGAAAAATGAATAGAAATTGACCAAAAAGAAGCAAAAAGAAAAAGAAAAGAAAAATACATGGAAAATTGAGAGAACAGTCCACAGACCTACCAGTAGTAGACATTGTCTTTCGATGTTCATGCTGCTTATCTATCGTCTTTCTTCCATGGGATTTGAGTCTTTTGAGTCTTTTTGTCCTTCCATTCGAGCCCATCATAATCGTTGAGCCAGATTAGTCTCGTTGTATGCAATCATGTCATGAATCTCACAACACCGCTGTAATGTACATTGGCCACTACGAACCACACCCTAGTCATAGTCATTGTTGCCATTATCCTTCTTGATAAGTCAATATTATATTATATATTTTACTCTATTCTTAGTATAATTTGGTAATTATTTTAGTAGAATTTTGATACTTTGCTTTATATTTTCAATATAGAATATTCGACTTCCTCTGGAGAAAAACATGATCAAACGGATAAATTTTGGAATGATTTAAATTGGAGGACGCTCGTGTGTCTCTTGGCTTGTACGTGTCAAAATTTGGGATTTTTCTACCAAGCAGTTATTTTCTGGAGATCACATAAAGAAGCAGTGCGAATTGTTGAAAATTGACGTTTTTGGGCTTAAATACACTTTTTGGAGCCCAAGATGACCTCAGATTCGTGGCTTTCTAGATAAGTGTTCAGAATAGTCCAAGCTTTAAATCTAACTATTTTGAATCAATTTTGGAGCTAATTTGGGTCCAAAACGTGGCTGTACATAATTAATTAATTTAATCAAATCTGATGTATGTTGTGAATTGTGATATCATGATTTATATGTTGTGATATCAAATCTGATTTATACGTTGGATGTGAGAGAAATCATGTTTTTATGGCGGTTGGTTATGTAGCTTGAGTCCAGGAATTACATGTTGTCAGGTTATAATAAATGATTAAGGAATGCTATGCTTCTCTGCTTGAACTTAGCAGAATAAACGTCTGATTTTGTGGAAATGAACTACGAATGGCTTGATCCCTATTTGAGGGTACGTAGGCAGTCTAACGAGGAGTTTAGATGCAGCCATAAGGTAAACGAAAGATTTCTTTGTAATTTGATCCTTAAATTGTGATTGCCATATTCCTGAGACAGGGTATGTGAGTTATACGAGTATTTGGGTGACGTCACGTGTCGATTCTGGACGTATGTCGGGATCGATGCGTGACAAATTCAGTCGGAATGCCACCAGGGAATTGAGTATTATTGCTTCTTGTGATAGTTGTAAGTTCATCTAGGGCGAATGCCACGTCTTAAGGGTTGCATGGTTTTTCAAAGGGTTTTCACAAAGCATAATGAGTCATGCATGTTTATATTTAATCTGAATGCCACAGATGGATTGCATGTTTGATATACGTTCTAACTTGAATGCCACAAATAGAATATGCATTAGGAAAACCTAACATTCAAAGTTGCATGGGTAACTCATAAGTAATTGGTAAATCTACATAGGATTGTTAAGAGAACGGCGGAACCTTAGGCTTTTTACAATTTGGTTTTCAAAACGTTTTCCTTTGTTTTCTTTACTTTGCTATTTTCTTTAATCATTTTAATTAAATTCGTTTTTATTATTTTTAAATTCAAAATCAACCTTTTCCAATCTTTGTTTTCAAATAATTAACTAAGAATTAGTTTAAATACATATTATTCATTCAATTCCTGCGGAAAACGACCTTAATTACTTGAGCCATTTATACTATAACTACTCTATTTTCTTGCAAGTATTTTTTATGTTTTTATCTCTACTTTTGCAGGTGGTAAAATTCCTATCACTTCTCTTCTTGGTTATCGATCCTTATCAACTCCATGTCCGTTGGTGAACATCTTCTGACCGCAACTGTACCACTTTCCTTTACCTAGATTGGAGACAATACAAGCTCAAACGTTTTGAAAATATTTAATTATAGAGCTTAATTAGTCCAAAATTTAGGCACGTTATATTCTGTCATGATCCAGAAATTAGTATTGTCACAACCATCATACTTACACAGGGATATACAGAGGTATCCTCCAACAATCCCTAGATGGCGGAAAGACCTATCGTACTTGTTTTCGGTAATGAAAGGCAGAGGCACCACCCGGAACTCCTCCTTGGCCAAATCAAAAGTAAAGATATTAGGTTGTCTATAGTGTAATCCGAGCCAATGCGGTGCCTCATTGATCAACAGAGTGACTCCATGTCCAAGTGATCATTAAGGGCTTCAATCCTTTCACAAACGTTGGCTCTCAATGACTCTAGAGAGTCAGATCTTTCATAGAATTCCAACAATTTCTCCAATGGGTTAAATTTTGAAGGAAGATCAACAGTAGTGTAGTTGATGCTCAAATATGTGAAGTTCAATCTAATTAAAACAATAAGAAATCAGGTTATAAATGAGATTTTAAAAGTGTAATACTAGTAACTTTTTTTCTTAATGAAAAAGCTTATTATATTAACACCCCACATATTTTTGAATAAACCCCACATACTTAATACACCCTACATTTGCTTTTTCAATAAAAAAAATTTCTTAATACACCTCATATACTTCCCCATAACACCCTCTTACCCCCACGTTCTTAACAAACACCTCATATTTTCTCCATACACCGCACATTTTTCAAATCTTATAACACTTATTTTTAAACGTCTTATGATTTTGTTTTTCATTCTACTCTATTGTTTTTCGTTCATTTTTAAACGGCTTAGTTGGCTCATTGAACTACGACTCAAGTTTACTGCTTCACCATCCGAATCACGCTCTAACATCTTTGAAATTAAACATCTTATGAATTTGCTTTTCGTTCTACTCTATTGTTCAGGTAAGGGTCTTCCTATGTAGCCTATTAATTTTCGATGGTGATTTTGATACATGTGAACTTTTAAGTTGTGCTTTGATGTAGTATCTTACGAAGCAATATTTAGCCCTTGTAGTGAAACCAAAAGCTCTTACCAATTTGTAGGCATTTTTATATGAAAAATCATGGTTTGCTAACAAATTTTATAGCTATTGGATATCTGTGTTCATCCAATTTATAGTATTCATGTTTCCTAAATGTTCTGTACTTTATATTATGTTAGATAAACCTAGTTGAAAATAACCATAAAAAAAATAGAGGGTGTGAGGAGTTTTGATAGTTGATGAAGATAAATAATAAAAGTGATTTGTGGTGTATTTAGAAATTTTTTATTTTTTAAAACCTAATAAGGTCAAAATGGTCATTGCATAATAGGATACATAAATCATTTAGTATTAAAATTTAATATGGAGTTCATTCAACATTTTGTGAAGTGCTAATATAAAAAGCCCATAATAAATTTTTGAAAACAAATTGTAATGTGAAATATGGATGTGCTAACATAAATACATGGTCAAAGAATTATATTCAATTTTTAATCTTGCACAAGGAATTTATCTAAACATTTCAAGGATTATAATCTAGTTTGTTGGAATTAAATTTGCACATCACTGCGAATCGTGGAGATGCAAATTCGAGAAACATGCAAAACAGAGAACAACCGTGAACAAGCCTAAGACCAAGGGTGTGCCGGCCAAAGGTTCTCTGATGGTCAAGTTAGTAAGCAGTTTTAGACTCAAGCGGTGGGCAACAGAATTATAGTATTGATATTGCATAAGCAGAGACAAATCCTAGATGAGTCTATTTATATTGTGGGGACATAGACCTTTTTAGTATATAATCCTCATTCTAAGTCAAGAGAATCCTAGAGGATATCTAGAAGTAAATATTGCACCCTCTTAGGCGTTGTGATTACTTAGGTGCATGCCAATTCTTAGATTGTAGGAACTCCAAGACTTATGAGGATCTGATTGTCCTTATCCGGGTCAGATCTCATGTCTTGCAGAACAAGTGTGGTCATTTAGTGGAGTCACTCAAGCGTCGCCAATTGTCCCATAAAAAGGTGATTGTGGCGCCGCTACCCTGTCTAATCCAGCCCTGCTCGAAGCTAGTGAGTCCATGGCTGGACTTTTGAGGTATCGATATTCGGATCAGCCTTACTCGGACCCTAGAAGATCGTGGTCCCATATAGTTTTCTTAATATTTTTTTCATCTTAAAATTTATCTTGACATTGCATTTTTTTGGATATAGAAAAATTCATTGAAAAGTGATGCAGACTCTTCATCATATACCCCTTCATTCTATAACTTCACATTCACAATTTGACAATTTTATGGACAAAGTTCCATATACAATGAAAACTTTAACATAGAAAACAGTTACCAAACAACCTTCAAATGATTTTTCAGTTTTCAATGAAAACTAAATTAGTTACTAAATAAGTCTATTTTATTTTAAATGAAAATTCAAAACTAGAAATTGAAATAATTATGAGTTGGCCCTTAATCTCATAACTATTCTAGGCCCATCTCATGACTGTTTCAATTTCTAGTGGATAAGATGTTGGGTTTTCACATATGTATCCAATATCCTAATGAATAGGATGTTAAGTTTTCACCATTCGTCCCTTCCCCTAAATTATTTTAGTAGTTTCGAATCTCCCCCTTCTTTAACAATAATATTTTTTTTTATGTAAAAAGATGGGTACTTAATTAGAAGAGTAAATTGTAATAATAGTTCCTCAATTTTAATTAAATTAAAGCAATAGTCCCCTAATTAAAAATTCATTACCATTGGTCCCTACTTATCAAAACGTGTAGCTATGGTCATTTTCTTCAACTCCGTCAAAATGAGTTATGTTAGAATGACCATTGCTATAATTGGGTTAAAGTTGAGGAACCAATGCTTCAATTGGGTTAGTTGAGGGACCATTTCTCGAGTTGGACTAAAGTTGAGGGACTATTGATACAATTTTTCTTATTTGATTTTTTATATTTGCCCCTTGATTTACCCTCATGTGTATGGCATGTGACTCATTTTGACGGAAGTTCTAACGGAGTTAACGAAAATGACCATAGTTGCACGTTTTGATGAGTTCAGGGACCAATTGTAATGAATTTTTAGTTGAGGGACCATTGCTTCAATTGAGTTTAAGTTGATGGATCATTACTACAATTTATTCTAATTAGAAT